ATAAAGCAGATGTCCACAGTCCTCTACACATTCCAGGCAGCCAATAAAAACAAAGCGTCTTTCTTCCTCAAGGAGCAGAGCCCCATCTCCGACTGTCTCCAACAGTCACAAAGCTTCATATAAACATTTGGTGTTATAAGCAGCGACGCTTGCTCCCTCCCCGCCACCGTCTCCGAGACAAGCAATCCGATCCCTCTGGATTCCGGCTCCGCTCATTTTGGGAGCACTCTGTGTGTTTGGCCAAGGTGCGGGCCCTTGTCTGAAAACTTTCCATGACACTGGAAGTTTCGGGCCACGTCTCTGTGTCTCTGCTGTCCACTGTGCCCGACTCCCGCTGGATTCATCAGCCATTGTTTCCCCCGCACAGGCATTTATTATGTCACTGCAAACATAAGCTTTGTCCTCAGATGAAGGATCAGCCAGGGTTCGTGCCCTGAAGGGGTCAAACAAACAGCAAATATGGACAGGCTATGACTTAGATCTTGGGGTTGGGTTGACATTATGGTGGCAGGGAGATAATTTCATTTAAGGCAGAAGGGGACAGAGGCCACATTTTGTGATTTTACTAGTAGCAGCCAAAGAAGTGAGTCTTTGTGGTGATGCTAGTTAAAGCACAGCATTAATCTTATCTTCTCTCTCTGCCCACATCCCCATCACCCTCCTCTTCACCATATCAAAATGAAAACAAGGACATTTCCTGCGTCTGTTGCCGACTAAGGCTAAAAATGTACCGCATTATCACCGGTAGGAAAAATAAATGAAGTACACTGAAAGCACCTGAGATGACCCCGATTCAACTAGACCCCAGCAGATATGAAAATAAAACCACGTGAGTGAGAATTTAAATTAAGTTTTCTGATGCATTGCATGAATTGAAAATTTGGAAACTGTTTTTATAAACCTGTAAAGTTTCTGAATGTAATCAGCATCATGAATAACGCTGCCTTTAAAATTACATCATATTCACCCTGGGTTTTTCTTTTTCCCTCCACGTTGAATAAGAATGAATTTGGCAGCAGACGAATCTGTGAGCATTAAAAGCTTTGGAGGCAGGAAAGGTAAACACTGACCTAAGCACACACACACACACACACACACACAGACACACACACACACACACACACTAACAATGGCTTGTATGTGTAAAGATCAGATTTCCATCATGTTTGTTTTCTTAGGATAAGGCATGTGTGAACAAAGAAAATACTTTGCTTGCTCGTAGCCATCTGTTGAAACCAGCGGAATTTCTAAAATTGAAAATAGTTTTCTTTATGTTACACAATACGTTTAATTGGCACAATATCATATTCTATTAATTTAATCCATTTAATAAAGTTAAATCTCTATATTGTCTATTTTTATTTATTTTTTTATACCTTAAACTGAACCAGCACAAGTTTTAAATTATCGACAAACGATCTGATCACACTATAATGACAGGCTGGTAAAGTAAACAACCGCTCCACCACACAGAAAGTCACTGTCCTGCTCTCCAAACTATGAGAATGCGGACAGAGAAAACACAAAGCAACATGCTGACATGTGAGAATGATCAGAGGTTGTCACAAAAAACCCAGCATAAAAAAACAAATCCAGGATCCGTGCGCAGCTAAACCTGATGGCCCGAAGACCGACACTTATCCAGTGTTCCCAGCAGCAACTTACATCCCACAAAATATGGAATAAAAGAAAACAATTGAGTGATTGTTCCCCTTTCAATGCGTGGCACCGAGTGCACGGTCAAAACTCGCAAAACATTCATTTGTTTAGGGTTAGTGGCACAGAAACAGGGCAGGAAAACAATGGCTAAATGTCTTTGTTGCTCAATCACAAAAGCTGATAGCTGGTTATTTGCATTCACGAGATCACACTCTGGGCTCATTGCTAAACGGTGAAGCCCACGTCGTTATAAAGGACGTTGTTATAAAAGCCACTGGCTCAGTGCAGCAGAGCAGGAGATACTGTAGCGTCCCATTGTCACAGAAAAAGGACGTTTATGAGCGTCCACAGTGCAGCTCAAAACTCAACCCACCGCTCTGACCCCCGAGGACTGGTCTTAAAACTGCTGCTTTCAATCTTAAAAGAAACAACAACAAAAGAGCCTGTCAGGGTAATACTTCCTGACAACCCAAAGATAGACAAAAACAACACCGTAAACACTCGAAAGCCAAATGAACACACACAGAAGGTGCCAGAAAGAAGGGTTGTGATATTTCTTTCTAAAAAACAAAAAAAAAGAAAAAGAAAATGGACACCCACCCACAGAGCTGAAATAATCCTACAAACAGAATGTGCCCCGAACGTGATGCTATTGATTCCACTCTTCGGCACATTAGCCGAATAATGTCTTAACAAATAATCACGCTGCTTTTCAGAAAAGCAAACAAAGGTGTCTTTTTGTCGCCGGGCGGTGAAGGGACTGATCACATCGTCTCGCTCTATCATCTTGAATTTCTATCACACAGAAAAAAAAAAAAAAAAAAAAGAATTGAACAAAAGACAAGATAAAAGCCTCCAGTGTACTGAGGAATCAAAACTCACTTAAGATGTCAATAGTGTCACAGAGAGAGAGAGAGAGAGAAAAAAAAGAAGATGCTTGCATTGGAAAACAAATCCATATCAATACTTTACCAATCAGTTAATTTCATTAAGGCATTCAGTGCCATTTACTCTGGGGACAGCAAATCGTGCGCAAACAAAGCAAAGGTCAGAAATGTTTTGTCGAGGCGAGTGACAGATTGTATCTTGGAAAACAGTTTGCACTCAGTGGCTGTCTGAACGATTTATAACCACCTCTGATGAGAGAAATTAACTGCAATGCTAAATTCACTTAGGGCCATTTGACATTTTCACACCGTTTAAAGCGCCGGCTCTCGTCTCCCTAATGGTCACGTGTGATCTGCTCCCGGTCGTTGTCCTCCTCTCACCTGGTGCTCTCTGGATCTGTTCATGTCCAGGAGGAATGCATCGCAATTCAGGATTTCTTTAAGCAGCTGCGAGTGGAAATTGCTTTTTTGGGGAGACGTTTATGACCCCATTCAAAGGCCGACGTCTCAAACACAGGAAGGAAGGAACTGAGAAGGGCCATACAGTATCCAGAGATGTGTTTAGAACTGCTGCTCCTCCTCTCTGCAGAGGGACGAAGCTTCAGACACCGAGAAACGAAAACAGAACTTTAGATGAAAGGATGAGAATTGTTGTTATCTTTTTATTTAACTTGTATATTGTGTATTATTGTGTGATATCACGCAGATTAAGTTAAACATAACGTCTGGGACTCGGACAGCTACCTTCTGATTGAGTCTGAATAAACTGAGGACAATGGATTGATGATGTTTGATTTAAATGAGGCCTTCACGTCCCATCATGAAGTACGTTCACCAAGGAGGTTGTTTTTTTTTGTGGTGTGGGTCGGAGTCATGGGGCCGTTGAGTCAGATGTTGTGTGATTTCAACATTTTGCTTGATTTCTCAGGGAATGATTAACGGATCTTGAATCCCTCAGGAAACTGATCTCAAAGATTGTGTTTAATCTGGTGCAGCTTGATTGAATTGAAGGAGACGGTCGGGCCTTGGCAGAGGAACGAGCTCGACTCTGTGGCATTCTTGTTTATTTATTAATTCCACAAAATAAATTAAGCGTTCGCAAAAGAAAAAAAAAAAACGATTAAAGCTCCTCAAGCAAATCACTACAGATGTTGTAGCGCATAGAACAAGCTCTGAACTCAGCCGTGATGTCACATATGGACGGAGGTAGGGTGGAGGGGGTGGAGGGGGGGTCCTCCTCCTCAAGAGTGCTCAGGATTAGTGCCTGGAAGTCTGTTAGATAATAGATCAAAGCCACACAGCGGAGAGCTCTTCTTGCTTTTCCCACGTGACGCCCATCTTCATACGTGATGGAATTCCAGGGGCTTTTTTTTTTTTTTTTACCCACAATTCCACCTGAAGATCAGACGACAGAATGCGGTCGTCAAATCACACAAATTGTTCAAAATGGTGATGTCGCAGATTAAGACAAATGAGGGTGCAGAAACGACGAGGTCAGAGCGTCACAGAGAATCACAGCTAAACTACATTTTCAGAATAAAGCGGTTGTTTTATTTTCCTATTTTTTAGTAAATTATTGTGAGCAGAAGAAATAGGGCAAATCTCGACCGAGTTTCCTTTTAGTTAGATTTCGGATAAAGAAAAAAAAAAAAATTTCATGAAGCTACATCAAGCAGCTAACTACCTTATCTTATTTTAAACCCTGTCCAGACATGTGCTGAAATTAGCCTGGTTCCTCCAGAAGCAAGAAAATAAGTAGCTTGCTGCTCTCTGTACCTTCGGGCCACGCTTCAGATAAAACAACAGGCAAGCTGTTTCCAGGTTTTATGCTAAGCTAAGCTAACAGATACAGCCAAATACGTTGGGCATTTCTATCTGAAACTATGCATCATTTTTAATAAGCAGATCTATAAACGTTTTGTGGGATAACTTTCAATGCAAAGTTTTATTAAGAGTACAATACCACCCACATGTCTCTTATAAGTAACCTGAATATAGTTTAAAGCCTAGCTAGAAACGTGCTAAAACAGTTAGCCTGGTTTCTACAGAAGAAACAAAAGTAGCCTCGTGCTGGAATTCCCTCCGAGTCAAAATTCCGACTTGAGGGGGCGCTCCGATTGTAACGTCCGACACGGGGGTCGGCAGTCGGAGCACCAAGGTTTAATGGAATGTGGCATAAGTCCGTAGCTTCGGAAAGAACAGGCTAGCCGCATCAAGCAAGGACGTATGTGTATTTCTCAAAACATCAATTTCTCAACGTGACAGCTGTTTAACATTAGCTGGAGGAGAAAATGCAATATTTCTCACATCGTAATGGTGAAACAGCATAAAACCAAGAAGTACAGGCATCTCAAGTAATTGTACTTGTACTACATCAACAAAACATGAATTTCACTCCATAAAACGCACAATTAATTCAAATGTATGTGATGTTTCAAAGACAAAGTCATTTAATAAATCACACTGGCTCAAATATGTGACAACAAAAGGCGGCATTGTCGTTAAACACCAGTCGGACACGGCGTCAAAACCAGTCACCGGTTTTAACGTTCACGTTGATGAAGCACAGACCAACTCTGAGGTGATCGCAAAGAGTCGCTCGTCAAACAACTTCATCGGAGTTTGCGGCGTCTGCATCAGGAGCCATTAGTGCAGAGGACCGACAGAGACCAATCAATGGTCAACTGTTCACAGGAGACTCTCATTCAGGTCCAGCCTTCACTCTCTGCAAATACTAAGTGCTGAGGTCTGAGTGTAGAAATAACCAGAATAATGGACAGCGCGAGCAAGACGGGCACTTTATTGAAAAATCTATCGGGAGAGCAACTTGGCTTTTAAGAAAATAAGACGCTGATGTACAATTGACGACCGCGTTGATTCAGAATGAGGAGCAGAAAATGATTATTTACAAAAATGACGACAAAAATAACTACATGAATTCAGCATTTGCAGAAGACTGCAACAATCCGCAGTTTGAGTAAATAACCCATTTTACTCTTATCACTCTGCTGCCACCTAATGGACAAATGGGAGGAAGACAAACCACAACACAAGCAAATTCAAATTCAAGCTGTGAGCATTATTTTCAGACTTTTATTCTCTTACACTTTATATTTTCTCGTTAGTTTAGCAGCGATGCCTGCACGTTGTATAATTGAAAATAGAGTGTATGAAACGACAGATGTGAATGATTAACTCTCATATTCAAAAGCTTTTCAGTGTTTAAAATAGTCTGAAGCGATCTAATGTGCTACGACAACAATTCATTATTCTAAGATGTGGAAACTAGAGCAATTATAAAGTTAACGATGTTGTTAAATTTCAGTGGTTGATAATTAAATTCAATGCTAGAAAGTAAATACTGTTATTTGTCGATGGCCTGCACAAACGTATCTTTCAGAATAAAGAGTTCTTACTGGCAAAGAAATAGCTTATGATGCCGTTACAATCTTTTCATTTTAAGAAAAACCCGGTTCTGCTCAGTGTGGGATTCCCTCCAGTGAGTGTGAGTCTGTGTAGAGTGTGTGAGGAGAAAGCTGCTCTATCGTGCTCTGCTCTGGCTGAGTGGACACAATCAGCGGGACGCCATGGATGACCACATTCTGTCCGCTCAGGCCGATATTTGGCACCAGTAACGCACCTTCCTCAGGGGGTAAGGCGTTCTCCTCAACCTTAACTGTCATCCCTGGGTTAGACGTTTCCCCTGATATTGTCGTGGTCACCGTGGTGGCGGCTTTGCCCTCTGTCACCACCGTTACCTCCGTGCCGCCCTCCTGGATCAAGGCGTTGAGGCCGTCCAGTTCAGAGCAGGTGGTGATGAAAGTCTGCGTGCTGGTGCCGCTGCTGGAGTCCTGAGCGCTCATGGCCGTCTGCAGCAGAGCCTGGTGGAGCGGGTTGTCGGTGTGTCCGGTGCCGAGCTGCGTCAGCAGAACCGTTTGAGGTTCAAGGGAAGATTCTGCAGCCTGAGATGACCCCAGCGGTTGCATAGGCGTCAGTAAGTTAACCTGCTGGATCATGGAGTTCACCACCATGTCCTGGTTTTCTGGGCTCAGCAGGACCATGTTGGTCTTACTCAGTCTGTCCACACCTGCTGGGATCAAGGGGTTCTGTTGACCCAGTGGGTGAGATACAATGATTTTGAGCTGTGCATTGCCGTAAGGAGCCATCGAGTCAGACGGAATGGGGACTTCCAGCTGGGTGGTACTCTGTGACGTAACGGGAACCAGGCTGACTGTGTCGACCGGGGCGGAGAGCTGGAGCTGCAACACGTTCTGAGTGTCTCTGTGTTGCTTTTTGTGGCTCCGCAGTGAATCCTCCCTGACGAAGGAAGCATGGCATGAGTCGCAGCTGAAGGCCCGGGCTGCGTCCAGTTTGGCTCGGTACCGGGAGCTGACGGGCTTTGGAGACTCACCTCCTCCACTTTTCCCTGCTCCCCTGCCGCCTTTCCCGCCGCAGCCTTTCTCAGGCTTATCTGAGTGGAACTTCTTTTTGTGAATGACAAGGTTGCTGCGCTGCTTGGAGGCAAAGTTGCAGAAGTCACATCTGAAGGGCCGCTCCTCTGAGTGGATCCTCTCGTGGACTTTGAGCGCCCCCTTGCTGGAGCAGGAGTAAGTGCACTTGGCACACTGCATGGGTTGAAGGGGTTGGTGTTCTCGCGTGTGCTGTCGCAGAGCGGTCTTGTTGGCGCACTTGAAATCGCAGTGCTCGCAGCGGAAGGAGTTCTCGGTGCCATGTTTGATCTGAATGTGAGATTTGAGGTTACCTTTCATGGCGCAGCGGTAATCACAGAACTCACACTTGTAGGGCTTTTCACCAGAGTGAATCCGGACGTGTCTCTTTAGGTCTGAGTTGATTTTGAACTTGGCGTCACACTGTTGGCACTGGAATGGTGCGTCCCCTTTCAAAAAATAAAAACAAAATATAGTGTAAAAATATGGCTCAGCGATCTTAGTCCAAGCAGCTCGTGAGCATTTAGATGGCACATGCTTTGCAGCCCCAGAGCAGGTGACTGCACCGTCAGGGAGACACGGGTTCCTCACACATTCTTACCTCTTGTAAAATCTAAACGGATTGGTGTATTGAACAAACATTAATTGTTATAGCTCCACCTTGACTTCATTAATTGTGATTTTTGGTGCCTGGGAAGTGGCTGGACATTAGGAGAGAAGAATAAGAAGAAAGAATAACGGCAATAAAAACAACTTAGCCCCCTAATGACACATGTTTTTCAGTGGTCAAACACCTGCTGCAGAGGGTTCAGGATTTGCAACTGCCTACCGGTGTGTGAGCGGAGGTGCACGGTGAGCTGACTGGAGTTGCGGCTGGCATACGGACAAATCTGGCATTTGAACGGCCGCTCGTCGTAGTGGATGCGCAGGTGCTTCTTCAGGCTGCTGCTGTCGGCCGCCGCGTAGGGACAGTGTTTGCACTTGTGCGGCTTCTCGCCCGTGTGCAAGCGGCTGTGCATGTTGAGCTTGTCCCGCCGGCTGAAGCGCTTGTGGCACAGCTCACATTCAAACGGCTTCTCCCCTGGAGGGTAAGAACAACTAGTGTCAGTATCTAACTCCAGCAACGGAGCATCACATGTCAACCTGAATGCAGAGGAGTATCAATGTGCAGGGTGGTGACGTACCAGTGTGGGTCTTGAGATGCCGCTCCATGTCTTTTTGGCCATACTGCGTTTTAAAAGTGCAACCTGTGGATTGAGCGAAATTGAGCTTTTTACAAGGTGCGTGGAGCCTGTGCACTCTGTGGAAAAGTTAATTTAACGTGGACTGGCAGGAAGTACAGTTCCCTCTGCTCGGCAGCTGAGGGGCAGGAATGTGTCAGAGTCGTAAACGAGGAGGGGAACCGACCTGAGAAACAGCAGCTGTGTCTCTTTGAAGTCAGGGTGGGTTTTAATTTTCTGGAAGGTGTTTTCTGAGCTTTGGTCAGGATCTTTTTGACGCCTCTCATCACACACGTCTGGTAAGTTTCCTCGAAAACAAACTCAGCACTGGGATCTGAGCGGGACGACAAAATGGCAGAGAGGAATTAATAATGAGCAAACACGCTACCGAAATGCAATCAGTGAAAAGTAAAGTAAACAATTTAAACAGGATATATACAATGTTAAAATATAAACATTATGATGGATTACACATGATTGTATAGTGTAAGGAAACGCACATGATTATATACAGTTTAACAGCTCGCACATGATTATATAGTGAAAGAGATGCACATGATTATATAGTGTAAGGGATGCACATGATTATATAGTGTAAGAGATGCACATGATTATATAGTGTAAGAGATGCACATGATTATATAGTGTAAGGGATGCACATGATTATATAGTGTAAAGGATGCACATGATTATATAGTGAAAGAGATGCACATGATTATATAGTGTAAGGGATGCACATGATTGTATGCAGTAAGAGATGCACATGATTATATAGTGTAAGAGATGCACATTATTATATATTGCAGTGTTTATGATGTAAAGATGATGTTTTATGATTACATATCGAGTATTTAGTTGATTTGCACACTGAGCAGCTGCACAGTAGAGTGATGTGAACCTGAGCTCCGGGCGCAGTCTATAACCTGGTGCGTGCACATCGCTGACTCCTCCAGAGTCTGACCTGAGAGAGCGGACGCCGCAGTGGAGGCTGACGGGTCGGGGGAGGGGAGCGAACATCCATTTTGCTTGTGGGCCAGAAACACGTCGACGTTGTTGTACTGTTGTTTGCAGAAGCCGCAGATGTGGATGTCAGGACTCAGCTCCACCACCACGGAGTGTCCCGCTGCATCTGCACCACCACCACCACCACAACAACAACAACACACACGTGGTTTCACCTTGATTCACACACCTGACAACAACACAGCAAACACACGGTCGTGAGGTTGTTTTCTTTTCTTTTTTTGTTACCTCCCGTGTTGTACGCGGACATCTTCCCAGCTCGCCTCCACATCAGCTCATCTCCCGGATCCTCCGGAGGCGACGGGCTCGAAAGGTGACGTGACGCGGATCCGCGCGGTTCTTCACGTTCGATCCTCCGCGGAAGTAAACAACTGTTTACTCCTCTGACAACACGGAGCGGCTTTGCGACACCCCTCCGGAGGTTTACGGCAGCGGGACAGGCATGCGTTTCTGTCGTCCCGGTGACGTCACGCGTTGCTTTTAAAGGCAGTGGGAAAAATTGCAATTAAAAAACATAACTTCGTAAAAATAAATGTTTTTTTTGTTTTATTTGGTTCATATTTTGTCAGTTGTTTATGTTCAAAGTCAAATAAAACAGATCTGCTTGTTATATTAAAATAATAATTTAGTCCAAAGTTGAACATAACAAACAAGTCCCTGATGTTTTGGGATTCTTTTTATTTACTTTTATTTAATTCTTTTTTAAGTTTTCATTTCTATTCAATTTTATTTTGTATAAAATAATAATAATAATAATTGTATTTGCCCTCCGGGTACAAAAAAAGTTGTTTTGAGAGTTTATATCATAAAATATTTTACTGTATATTCTGAGAGTCAAATAATAAAAAACACCAATTATAAGTCTGTTAAAATAAGAATATGTTATTTACAGAACAAGGACTTAATGAACTGTATAAACAGGAGGAATTCTTACAGTGAGAAAAACGTGTTTTTCTATATATTTATGGGATTTACAAGCTCTTGAACGCAGCATTGACACTCAGAAGAATTGTATTGAGCAGTTTAAAAAAGTATTTAATTAATTAAACAAATTAAAAACAACAGAGAAAACTACAACTAGTAAATTATCACATTTCTTTCAGAAAGATAAATTTAAGTGTACAGAGACTCCTTTAAAACAGGTCTGATAACAGCCCTGCTGCCCCCTGGTGGTCTGGAGATGGTACAGACTGACCCACTAACACAAAATGTTTGTTCCCGACTCTTTGATGGAAGAAGCTGCAGCAGCGTTTGCACATTTCAGATTAAAACCACAACACCTGCTGTGATACTTCAAATGGAGGTGAGCTTTCTGTTGTAACACACTCAAACACACACACACACACTCAAACACACACACACACTCAAACACACACACACACACAAACACACACACACACACTCCAGCAGCTGTGAAGCTAAGGACAATTTACCGGCTTGTTGGGGTGAGTGAGTGAGGAGGCCTCTCTCTTTATGCCGGAGCAGTTGTGCTGGTGTGAATAAGCCATGAAAGTGACTGACGTGCAGCTCCATTTTCTCTGGCAGCTCCTTAACTGCCTGATTGCCACTGTGAAGCTCAGGAATTTCCTTACGCTGACTTTCCTGCATGGCAAAGGCAACAGGACTGATTCCTTCCCTGCTGAAGCAGCAAATCCTTCAGAGTCAGACATGAGGCACGCACACACACACACACACACACACACACACACACACACACTCACACACGACATTGACTTGCATTTATTTACAATATGTAATCGTGACCTTAAAAATGTCTTCACCTTAATTATTACATTATGCAGACTTGCGTTTTGTCCTCATAATGTGAGTGATACCTGGACCACATGTACTGACACACACACACACACACACACACAAACACAGATTTGTGCAGCTATCCTTACTAAGACTTTGTATTGACTTTCATTCACTGTGGAGAGCTGAACCAAAACGTGACCTAATAACAATTCACATCTTACCTCAGAAATTAAGTTTTGCATCATTAAGACAAAGCTTCCGTTCCCTTGAGGTCAGTGCTCATATTTGAAAACGCCCCAAAGAAGTAAAAAAAAAACGAGAATATATTCACAACTTGACTACATGAATCTGATTAATCGATAATTCAGATCAGATTTTTAAATTTTTCCTGAATCCTCCACACGGATTCACAAAGTTCTCCACTTTTAACTGTTTAAACGTCACAGTGAATCAAAAAGAACGCACAGATTTCTCGGCCCGTATTTTTGAAAATTTGAAAGAAACAAGGATGATTAAATAAATAATTAGATCTGACCGAAGAGCGCGCAAATCCCATGCACACAAATCCCCCGCGAACTCGGCCGCAGCTAAACGTACATCAAAAGACCACATTTGCATGAGACTCACAAATGACTCGGATATGTGGTAATTAAAGAAAGACTTATGTCGTCCCCTCAGAGGACAGACCAGTTTGTGCTCGCCACTTTGATCTACACTTCTTTTCTTACAATCAAAAGAATTGTACATTTATTTTTATTTCACTTTTCACAGCTCAGGAGATCCTGATCGAGCTGGTTGGTCACTTCGTCATCGATGATCTCGACTGATTACTGTCTCAACCAATCAATAAATCATTTAATCTCCAAAATACAGTATCGCCCACATGTATTCACTTTCAACAGTTCAAATATAATTAATTACAAAACCATAGAAAGCAATAAACCCTCACATTTAGAAACCTGAATGATTCATTGATTATCAGAAGTTTTGCTAATTAATTTCGACCGATCAATCAACTGACCGTTAAAGAACTTAGTCACAATCACACCAGTCTCTTCTGGTACTCTCCTCTTCCCCTCATCCCTTTAAACCAATAACCTCGATCTCAGTGTTCAGAACCAAAGTATTCTTCCAACATCCAGCTGTGCTCGGCCTCATTTGTAGATGTGTCCCCTCCCCATTCATGGAGACGCCCCAGTATTCAGTGAGTGATGTAATGTCCCTCTTTTCCCCAATGAGACAAGGGCAACAATAGGGGGGAGTGCCTCTGTCACATTATTTTCCCCCACCGAGGCACGCCAGCTGCTTACAGTTGCTTAATGGCTACGAGCTGTCACAAGGCATCACGGCCCGCTGCCACACAGGAGCGGCAGATGCTTTAATTGCACAATGACTTGTAGGTTGTCAACAGCAATTATACCAGGCTTCCACCTGAGGGCACCCAAAGAACGCCGCTGACTCTCCTCACTGGCGAGACACAGGCCTCACACAAGCTCAGCACACAAACCTGATCCTGGAGTTTTGCCTCTGTCCAGACGCAGAGACGCAGAGACACCCCAAAGTCTGCAACGCTTCGTCCAAGTGCTGCAGGATTCTCAGACAGCAGCCTCAGAACCCCCCCCCCCCAAAAAATCATATTTAGACGTAAAATATTTATCCATCTTTGTCACCTTAGGGCCCGCCGCTCACCGTGCTGCGGCAGGTCGTGGTGTGCAGAGTTTGAGTAATTTTTCTCATTATTAATTCATGTCATTTTTTTTTTTCCTCTTTGTGATTCAGGGGAGACTCGTTCAGCCGCTGCCAGGCCCAAGATTATTATCATTAAGAGGAAGCAAATAAAATGGTGAGTTCAAAGCCACGGAGCAACATGCTTCAGCCCCACATTTGTATCTTTGCAGCTCGTTGTATATACTCAGCTCCGAGAAAGTACCGGCCAACGTGCTTGGATTTGTGGTCCATTGTATTTATAGGCAGCCCTGAAATTTATAATCAAGCAACTCGGAAACCAAACACACGTAGTGACCTTCTGTTTGTGTCACGTCGAAGTGAATGAGTAAAAGATGTCCCGGGTCCCGTGTTTGTTTTGAGCCATAAGACAAATTATACACACATGTATGAATTCCTTTGGTCAACAGCTGCCATCGCAGCATCAGATAAAACGGAGCCAAAGTCTGGGAACCATCAGATGCCTCCGCCGCTCCCACTTCATCACAGAGAAAGACGGCGTGCACCAGCGCGCGCACGCAAAACGCAGAGACGTGCACGTGCAAGCAAGTGCAGCCGCGCTACACATAAAAGGTGCACATGCTCACACGCAAATCAGAGCCACGCTCTTTGTATCTGCCAACTGATGCAGATGATAGGGCTGCAGACGAGTGCAGGCTAACCAGAGACCAGAGGCTACATGTGGCTTCACGGACAATAGCAGGGCCTTCGGAGGAGAGTATTCAACCCCGGGAAACATGCTGGGATGTAAATAAAGACGGAATTTATACAGTTTTCTTCTCGTGTCAGATTCTACATATTAATGGTGAAGTTTTTCTGATGGTAGTTTTGTAAGATGAGCTTCCTGTCTTTCCTTCTGTGGGATCTTGCTCTGGCACGAACGCACCGCGGTTGCCCTGCACTTCGCTGTAGTGTCAGCAGGGGGTGTCCAAAATCGGGCTACGGGCAGAGCGAGCGACCCCGTGCCTGTTTAAAGCCGCTTACCAGGCAGTGCTCCAGTTTGTTGGAGCTGACATTTTGGAACCAGTGGGTCAGCAAAATGGAGAAGCAGCGGAGATGCATCAAAAAGCAGCGAGACTTTTGATCACAGGGTGGTTGTGGGTAATTTATTTTATGATTTTATTTTTCTCATTAGTAAATCCTAATGATCGTCGACCGGGAACTCACCTTCACCGTGTTTTCACTCCCTGGTAGAACGGAGCAGGGAAACGAGGCCACTGAGTATTTTTGGTGTAGACAGATGTACAGAGCTAAATCTAAACAAAAGGTCTTTGCGTGCATGTGTGTGTGTCTGTGTGTGTCTGTGTGTGTGTGTGTGTGTGTGTGTGTAAAGGTGTGACTGTGTTGTGCATTTTTTTTTTCTGTTAAGTTGTCAATGATGTCATGATGGAGAGGGGAATCTTGATCGTTAGACAGATAACAACGAGGCTGGTTTATTCATGACCGACACACACACACCTACAGACACACACACAGACACACACACACACACACACAGCATCATCATCATCGTCACAGGGGGAGCAAGGCTCATAATTGGACAGAGGTGTCTGTAGATAATGAAGCCAGACCTCACACCTGCCAAACCTTGGGGATTTCACTTGACTGGCCACTTAAATCTTCCTCACTCTGCGGGTCTGGAGGGCAAGAGAGTGAGTAAGGAACTAATGGAAAAAAAAGCACGCGCTACAGGGAGGATCCCTGTCAGCACGGGCGTAGCGTGGACCCCCCCCCCACCCCCTTCCACAACCCACCCTCAGCTAACTCAGCCCCCACAGCTCGTTCCATGCAGCACCCACCTCACTTCACTTCACTGTAAATCCTCTGGTGTCAAGGATTTCAGACGGAAAAGGGGAAATGCTGCACCAGCTATTTTGTTTCAAACTCTCAAAACACTCGCTTCTCCCAAGTCGTCTTTGGTGACAGCGTTGTGTGCGGGAGGCGCATCGTGCCGGCTCTTAGTGGGGTGTCATTCCAGGGGCTGAAAGGGAAATCAGACAGACACTTCAACGGGGGAACACTTCTATACGGAAAGTTTACCTGACAGTCATCAAGTGAAGGCGTGACACTGTATCAGTGGTAGCAAAAAACTACACCAATTAGGGACCAAGTTTACTCTGGCAAAAGCTCAACAATTTATGAGAAACAAAATGGGATTCACTGCATCGGTTTTTTTTTTTTTAGGAGTTGATCCATAAACGAGGCTTAAGAGTCGCTGTCACTCCAGATGTGTAAATAAAAGTGATTATTCTATAGATCCACAGATAGCGGAGGGGGGGGGGGTGGTTCACTCTTCCTTCACTTGTCATTAAATCAGCTTTGTCAGCATCTACATCCGAGGTTGTGTCTGCGTCCCGAAGGTTTCTGTGGTAAACGGTGGGAATCAATAACTTTGCAGCGCTAACTGATACAAACCGAGGTCGTGTCCGGACGGCCTGGGTTTACCTGTCGTCGTGTTTTTTATTCTTCACTCCGCAGATTATTGGAGAGACACGTGCTCGTCAAAGTCTGTTGTCTTCCGGTTTGATGTTGTTGTTGTGTTGCCGCTTCCCGAGGCCTTGATGTTTCTGACGTGTCTCAGAGGTGCTGAGACAACGTGATGCAGGAAGGAGATTCACATGCACATCTGTAGATTCTACAGCTGTAGGTGATCTCTGGGTTTTAATCTGATACTAGTGTTCAAATGATGCTTTTGAATTGGTTCTGGTGCCGTGGACGGATTCATATTTTTAAGAACGGCAATGGATTTCGGTACTTGACCCTGTGGATAACCACAGAACCCCACAATGTCCAGTTGGGTGCAAAAACCTTTATGAAATCTAAAATCCTCCCCCGTTTCACTCAACATGAGAAGAGCCAGAGAAAACCCAGACCAGGGTCGTCATCTCGGACACTTTGGATTTAGTTTCCCTGCATCCAGACGAGGTGGGGGGAGGGGGGTGAATAAGCCCAGGTGTCTCGCCTGGCCTGTGATACCCACGAGGGAAACCTTGCAGTCTGCAGCAACAAAAACCAGCATCCATGGTGACGGATGGTGTCGCGTGTCCACCGAGTGTTTGTGCTCTAAGTGCTGTGCATGCGGAGGTGACAGCTCACCGTATCCTCCCGTCTGATAGATTGAAGATAGACGAAAAAGCTGCGTGAGCGGAGCCAGTTTTGGGAAATGCGCTGTAACCGAAGACATCCGGATCCTCGCGGTTCCTCGTCTTTTACTCCGACTGCCACGCGAAGACACTTTCAGTAGTTGGGCAACATTCGCTAATGTGGATCCTCTTTCCGAATCGCAGCGATAAGGAACGCTGAAATGCGCCCTGAAATGAAATCACGCGGAAACCGAAAGCTTATCAAGATGAAACTGTGCAATAATACAAGAATTATCCATCACCATCCGTCATGTATTTGTTTGCAGGAACAGATTACATGGATCTTAATTGAAATATTATTTTACCTTCATTTGAATTATTTATGGGCTTGCTGACTAGATTCATACCTCAGAGAAAAACACGAACACATTATGTGATGCAAGAATGTGTGTGTGTGTTTGTGAGCGTTTCTCATATATTATTCAAAGTGTGGAGTCAGAATATGGTCTAACGTGGCCATATGAAGGAAATCAAAGGCGCTGTCTTTGATACAATTTACTTGAGATGCACTGGCCAGAGCCGAGCTGTCCGTTGGTCTGCCATTGCTAATGAGATCGGGGGGTAAAATTGAGAGTGGTGGGCTGGCTGTCATTCGCTAGGTGATGGTTTTAAGACCAAGCAGTGATACTTCATTAATTAACCTTCACATTCTATGTAGATCTGCTCATCAAGATGCAGTTAATTAAAGAAAGGTCATTCCAAGGGCTGCTGGGAAGCGGCGTTATTACAATGGAGGGATGGCACTGCTTTGAGCGAGATAACACAGGAGAGGGGGCGGGGAGGAGGTGATCGCCAGTCACTGCTAAAATGGCAGACGACTTGCGAGCTGTTGTTTGTTTTTTGTTTTTTTACTTCTTATATTCACTCTTTCTTTCTTTCTTTTTTTTTTATTTGCAAAGAAAGATAGTGTTGAAAAGCTCTAATGGAGAAAGTCTCTGTAAAATATTCATTACGCTCAATCGACAGCATCTATCTTTTAGCATCTCAGTATAGGTTTTTCCAGCCGCTCTTCGCAGCCCCGCGTCTTCCCTGAAAATTTCAGTGGAGAATTCCTCTTGTCTCTGACCTTGCTCCGTGTGCAGAGGGAAAAAATGCCATCTTGAGTAAATAAAAGGCCTGGAACTCCGCAGGATATAAAATAGTCATGTGTCATCTTTAAGTGAAATCCATTTTCCGTGTGGTGACTTATTCATTTTGATTCCCGCCTATCTATCTATAAATCTATCTTTGTCGCCGGCCGCGAGAGCACAGCTTCAAATGCGCCGTCTTGTTTTGGAAAGTGGATCAAGTATAGAAGCTGTGTTTTGTCTTTTGAAGAAAAAAACCAACAAAAATTTTTTTATATCAGCGATATAAAAATGTCCCTCTGAGGGTGTCGGCCGTCAGGAAGCCATTGTTTCTGTGCCGGCCTGCATGAGGACGGAGACAGTCAGAGACGCCTCAGTATGAAATAACACGTCTGCGAAATCGCCTCTCGGCCAATTGCACGACTGCGACCGGAGTTAGTGATACAAACTGTAATGTTTGTGCCAAGCTTTATTTTCTGATAATGGCGGCACCGTCTTGTTTGTGGCGGCGGCGGCGGCGGCGGTTTTTCAAAATGTTGCTCTACTGCAAAATTGTAGCGAGACATCAGCGCCTCCCCTGTGTCCACTCCGTCCTCCTGCAGCCATCCCCGAGTGTCTTTTGGCATTGCTTCCGATGGCAGGTGTGGAGACAAACGAGAAACGGTGTGCGAGCGTGCACGAGCATGCATCCAACCGTGTGTGTGTGCGTGTGTGTGTGTGTACATCCCTCCCACCCTGCTACGATACAGTAACTGCTGACCCTGGACACAGTGCCATTATGGCAGACGAGGCAGGGCTCCCCTGGCAGCGGCTGGGGCGGCTGGTTGCTAGGTGGAGAGACATTACCGCGGGCCTCTGTAATAATTTATCCTAAGAGCGCGGCGAGCCGTCATGTAGCCCCTGACAGAGAGCTGCAGTACTTTATCAGCCTGCCTGTAAATCAGCCATGTGTGGGTGCAGACGGCAACATTGTTTGATCTCTTTCAGACACTCTAATAATCTGCTCCCCTCTGATTGATACCTCCACACAACAAAGCACATTACACCAGCAAACCACACCAGCCATCAGCGTGTGTGTGTGTGTGTGCGTGCATGTGCTAATGTGTGTCTGCAAGAGGTGCATGTGTGTGTGTGTGTGTGTGTGTGTCTTTCTGGTGGTCATCAGTATTGCCAGTGGCCTGGGGAGGGAGAGGGAGGGGATGAATGAGTCTTCTGCAGAAACACAGGGTCATTTGGAGTCTCTAAACCAATGACAGGCTAACGGGTTCACAAAACGATCACTGGATGAAGGGAGGGGCAGGGGGAGGGGGGAGGGGGGTGGGGGGGCAGCGCCACCAACCTCAACACAAGAAATCCAGCAACCGATAAAGAGCAGCTGTTATTCTTCTCTTGAATGGCTGCGGTTGCATTTTTTTCTTAAAGAGGCCTGTGGAAATGCAGGGTCCATGCTTTCGATGTGGATGCATGTAAACATCCCAGTTTATGTGCACGGTAATAAATATTCATAATTGTTTCACTTGCAGATTGCAGAGAGAAAAGTTCTCATCGCTTTTCTGTAAAATTGCGCAAAGGGGAGTTGAATTCATCCTCGTTTCTAATTCCAACACGGCCAATATTTCCTGAAACCGACGCACAGTCCCACCGTCTGACAGATACAACAAACGTAACAGCTGAATGCTTCTATCTTTTCTTCAAAATGCTGATATATATATATTTTTTTTTATTCCATTCATGGCCTTCTATCAAATCAAAGTGAATTGCATCCTTTCCAAATTGCCTCCCCAGCCCGTGCTTGATATGGCTCATATACAAAGGAGAGCAATGTCCCATCCAACAATACCCATACCATTTGTGCCGCTCAGCTTCAGAATGTCATTGGTTTGAATGTGACAGTAAAACATAACTCTGCCTTTTCACTGGGTTGCATTTGGAACATGGCTTCCAATTATTCAGCTCCAAATTCAATAGCAATTTTCTGCTCAATGAAATAGTGGTTTCAATCTCTGGAGTAATGTCACTTTAGAGGGATTTTCAAAATGGCATGTCTGTGAGTGAATAGATGGACATGGGAGGATTCATTTTGCTTGAGGAAATGATACTTGTCCACTGAAGCTTGTCATTTATTGATGAAGAGGAGTATCTCTTCATATGCCGTAGAATCCCCAGTGCATTGTGGGTATGGATACATAGTGTTTGTGCGCCTGTCGAGGAATCCTTATTATTAAGTGTAATTTTTTAGCTTTTAGTCAGAATTTCTTTTTTTTTTTTTTTTAAAAAGAAGAAAAATGGCAGTCGGATGCGTAACCTTATCAATGTGTTTGGTCCGATGGAGCCTGTTTTGCTCCGGCGCAGCATTAAAAGTAGCACTGAACAATGAAGAAAAAATGCAATTATAAGTGTGTTTGTGTGTAATGTATCAGTAGCCCATCCAGGGCCCCATAATGAATGCAATGCAACGTGCGATCACTGAGCCGTGCGTACGCCCCGCTCAATGCATCTCTGAAAATAAACAGAGCAATGGAAATGGTTCTCATTAGTGTTGTTTTCATATTAAGTCCCTCAGACAAGGTTGACAAACCCAGCTCCCTGCGCCGGGCTCCTCAGGGACCATCGCTTCAATACGGCGAGGGCAAACAACACCAGCCGATACCAACACCATTACCACCTCCTATAGTTACTTATCCTCCCCGCCCTCCCTGCGGAGTGCTCCCCTCCACACAGACCAGGGGAAAAAGGCATTAAGATCCTCCAGCAGCACAGAGAAAGAGTCCTGCTTTCATTTATCACCATCGCTATTGGCCCTAAAAGGGACAAATGTCTGTTCTCCGTCCTCGTGCCGCTGGAATCGGAGAAACGTGTGAGGTGGAAGTTGTTTCCTGCTCCGGAGACGCTCCACTGCGAGGCTGTTCAGCAGGAAGGGAACAGGTGTGCGGAGCTTCTGGCTTCCACCATGTGTTCCAGTTGTTTCATCTGCAGCTGTTCTCCCCCCCCCCTCCCCCACCCCCCCCTACTCCCATATACCATGATCAAAACACTTTATTAACCATAAAGCCTTCTTGTTTGTGCGCCGCTCCGTCTCTGCCTCTTAAGTGTTTTCCTTCAACAGTCACATATCATCGTGCAGTAATTAAATCATGCAGCAGAGGTCATATTCACCAGGAAGATGCAGCGTGTCCTGCTCAAAAGATAAACTTCCATTTATCTGCGTTTGCAAATTGATGCTTGTAGTGATTGAAATTAGAGTAAAACCAGCTCAGGAAGCAGTGGTTATTAGTTTTTAGTGATGTTTTTAAATGTAAACGTGCTTTTGTTAATTATGTAAAAGTTATTTATGTGAATGTGACATTGACCTGGAGATTTAACTGGAGCTGAAATCTTTCCACGTGCTGTTAATCTGAAACTCCAGCAAATAAATCTTTTAGAAAACCTGTAGCTTTAGATGGTTTTCATTGATTAATTAATTGTTCGGCGTCAGAACATCATCACCTCAGTTTCTTCAGACGTCTTCAAAGTGCTTTTTCAGTTTACTGACAGAACCAGTGAATGTTTGTTGGCTTTTTATTTCTTAAAAAACACGTTAATGATTATAAAAGCATTTTACTTTCAAGCAACTAATCAAAAAATCAATTAATAATTGAGGCTCTAATTGAGTTTTTCCTCTGTTGCATCTTCTTTTTTACGTCTCACACCTGGACGTTGATATATTAATCAAAATAAATGACAAATTTAAGCTTCTTTATTAAAAATGAGGATATTATTCTTCATCGCATTATATTTGTTTCCACAGAACCTCATCAGCAATTCCATTAAATCTTTTGAGTCTGTATTTGTTGCTAAATCAGTTTCCTCGTAACAGCAGCTCAGTATGTCATCAGCGCCGGTCGCCATGGAGAAACTGACAAACAAAGAAAACGGCCTGTTCTGAAATGTAATAAGTCTTTTTTTTTTTTCACCGCAGACATTTTGACTTGTCATAGCAGGAAAAGCACAGGTTACTAATAACAGGAACAATGGTTCTGTTCTATTTAAGTTCCCCCGATACGCCATGACAGTGTGACAGCGACGTGCACACGTGCGACGCCGGGACCCTCGAAACTGAGGCGGCTAAATGTAATTCAGCTGTCACTAATTTTACGATTTACTCCGGTGCTTTTCCTGCCGTGACGTGTCAAAATGTCGAGCATGAGAACGGACCTGTCAACAGAAAAATCAAGGCAGAAAAATTATAGTAGGGAATTTCTAACATCGGGAGGAGTTCCACTCTCTGTGTAGGGGGGCGCTAGTGAGGCGGTCCAAAAATGAATGGGGGCTTATGGAGCTTTTTAGGGTTTAAGGGAAGAAGTTCAGTAACAGTAAATCTACTTTCATTAGATTTGTGAATCGTCACTCAATGTTAAATCGTTACTAAGGCGATCTATTGATTAATGAATAATTGATTTGTGGTTTGCGAAAACAAAGAAAATAATAAAGAGTTATTTATTTGTTTATTCAAGACGTTTCCTCTTCCTGCTCCTTTTTTTAAATTCATGGATATTTAAATTGTTTTGTAAAATAGTTTGACACTAAAATGAATGATTAAACTGAACAGTAATATTATCAGTTCTGTAGCATCAACAGCTTTTTGTCTAGAAGCAGGTGTAAATTATTCTTTCAGTCATTTTGCATTACCGCCCCCTGGAGCTGCTCTCGGACATTGGCCCCCGGAGGAAGGCCGCGCAATCGGGTCCGGCCTTCCTCCGCATGAACAACGCAGCGGGAGATTCTCTGCTTAGACTCGGTCACAACAATGCAGAAATCTCCTGAGCGCTCAGTTCTGAACCAATTCCAGCACAACAGCATTAATGGGAAGCGCTCTTAAAAACACAACATGTCGACAGAACGACGTCTAGGAAGTGCAGAGACAACCGACACCTGGTTTTTAATGTTTGGGTAAAATCTGTAGCCGTGAGCGTTCTCCTCCTGCGGCTCAGTCACGGAGCTGCTCCCACCTGAGCTGTGAGTTTTTTCTGCAGGCCACTGTAAATATCACCTTTCCTGGTGTCTTCAAGAACCTGCTTTTCCAGTAAATAGAGGATCGTGTAATTCAATATATTCCGTGTCGGGCCGTTTGCTTTCAGAGGACATCGAGGTGACATGAGTGGCCCCGCAATGAACATAAAGATTAATAAGTAATGGCCACATAAAGATGATATTTGCACTCAGATATCCCAGATATTTTTGTAGATTAATGCTTTTGATCAGAGGGAAACACGAAACGAGCAGCGGACGTGTCTCTCGCATTAGGATTCATCTGTTGACATCATCTTTTCTTTATTATAATCAGTATTTTCTCTCGTCTCGTGTGATATTTCTGACAGTGCACAATCATGCAGCTGCACTGGATCATGATTTCAAACGTGACGCTGGCTGGTGATGACTCTAACTAGCTTGCATGTTACGATTTATTGACAATAACGATGAACTGCGTGTCCCGCGCTCCAAAATGAAATGGTATTCGTCCGTCCTCTGTAATACTGTTGCCGGTCCCCCTGGCATTTTGTAATTTGTTGCAGTGTTTGTGTTCGCTTTCACACTTTAATATCACGGTATTGCTTCAATTTGAGCTGCAAGATAAAGTTCTATTTCATTTTGTGGGATTAACTTACTGGGTAGCACACGTCTCAAGGTATTTGTTGTGTTTTGTTTTATCTATGAATTATTTAGAGGCTTCAAAAATAGAGAACGGGTTAGACGACTGTACGTCCTGTCTCTCCCAGCAATCTCGGTGAGATGTTTAATTTGGTCTGCTAGCGTGGAATAGCACTCGCCACAACTGGGATTAGGTGGTTGGCTATGTAATTTCCCTGAAGAAGGAGCATGTTGAATTTGCAGAATAATGATAAAGGGAGAACTGAGCAGTTTCAAGCCAGGAAATATGAACTTGTGAACGCTACGTGCGCTTGAAGTTGTCATGGATTTTAGCTCCCGTATGAGACACTTTGCAGAAAGAGGAGCAGAGTTAGAAAATAAAATTATAAACCTGCTGTTTTGCGATCGGGGGTCTTGCAGCCGTTGTGAGTTCACAACATCTTTCACCAGGAGAAGAAAAACCCCCAACTCCTCCCCAAACTACGTTTAATTACGAAAACATGTGAGAAGAGACAAACTTTGAATCACACTGATGCTCCTGCAGAATGACGCATCGAGCTGGAGGAGGTGAAAGAATATAGAGCGGCAACGGTCAAATCTCCTTGTCCATTGATTCAATGATGGTAATGTTAATAATAATAATAATAATAGCAGTTAATGAGTTTGCGTTCTGTCCCTGACATGCATGGTTATTTGTTTTTTAGTTGACGCCAGGTTACAAGTCTGATCCAAGTCTCTGACGTGGTGGCGACTCATCGGCCACCCTCTCTAATCACGTCCGAGTTCACACAACCGCTGATCAAGTGCCGATCCGGGGCTTTTGTCTGTAAAACTCATCAGCGACCGGTTTGAAAATCGCTGCGGCGTGATCTCGGCTTTGGTCCGAAGATATTAATTCTTTAACGCGAAGTCTGCGGCAGCTCTGTAATCATTCTTTATCCTAATTTGCCGAACATGCTAAAGTTCACCGGGTCTATTAACGAAAGATTCTCTGTTTTTCTTTACTCTCCGTAGCACTTTTTAAAAATGCTAATGGACTCCCAACAAGCACCTGAGCAAGGATGAAAGTGCCCTAATTCCTGCTCAAAAGGTCACTGAGATGAGTTATAGTGGTATAAGCACCTGAAAGCTATTCCCTTGTTAGATTTGACAAAGGGAGGCTGCCATTTCCCCCCTTAAAAATAGTGTTGGGTAATAAATGATCATTTGTGCAGTGCGGTTGCTACCAGCAGTGACTTTTCCTCTGACATAACTTTACTGCCGGCTGATTTACATCCCGAAAGTTGTCCCCAAAATATTTAAAATGAGCGTTTTATTCATGATGCGCAGCAGACGGCGGTGACACACACAAGAGCTCTTATTGTGCTTCTTGGGGGAAATGGCTAATTAGTTGGTCATGAAAAATGTACGCGTGCCTGTTTTACTATCATCCGCTGTTTGACTCAATGACACTTTGGGCTTCTGCGGCAGCTTTGCAGTCGCACGACCCCGAATCGGCACAATGTGAAATATCTGGACTCGCCATCATGAAATTACTGACGCACGCAAGCTGCCATCAATTATAAACCAGGCTGGTCTCTGGACAAAGCGTTCCTTCTGTGCTGCAGGTGCCGTGTGCACCTCAGCATATGCGATAGTGCTTCTCGGCAGCCCTTCACAGGCCCCTGTAAGGTGCTCCTGGTGTGGATGTGGGGCTGTAGAGTCGGGATCACAGTGACAGTTTCAGGTGGAGGAGTCTATTAATAGTTTACCTCTCCGCCAAAGCATTTCATCATTTTTGGTGTCTGAGGGCTTCCTGCTTCAAAAAACCGGGGTGAAGTTATGCATCTCAATCTACCCCTTCATATTTCATGCTGTTGAGGATTATAAATAAAAGGACAGACTTTGACCTGGGCTATTAGTTACCCGGGATCCTGAGGGTGGATGGTGCTTTGTCTCCTGTCAGCTCGTGGTATTTTTCCTTTCGGAAAGCAACAGGATCACAATCAAAGTCTTTGGGATACGATATGAGATATGATACCTGCCGCCGAGCAGTGAGAAGGAGGAAGGACGGCGGGGGCAGAGGAACAACAAACTGTGAGGCGAAACAAAACCAATCAGTCAAAATCAGCCAAAAGGGAGCGTCTGAACAGAACGGGGGTGTGGGGGGGGGGTTTGACAGCAGGTCGAGCTTTGGGTCAGTGTAAAGCACCACTCTGGTGATTGCTGTTTTCTCTCCGGTGTGACTCTTGTTTCGACCACACAACCTGACTCTCTGGAGAAAGAAGGGAACTGGTGAACTCTCTCTCTCTCTCTCGAGCCCCTTTTCCACTGTTCTAAGAAAGCACCTGGATTTGTCTGCGATGTTAATGGAAACAATCGCCGTTCGATGGAACCGTCACACCGGTGCTCGTAACGTGCTCGTTGCTTCTTCATCTATAAATGCTGATGCTGCTCCTTTCTCAGCGTTATCACTTGCATTGAACTTTCCGGTTTGTGTATATTGTTTTTTTTTTGCATCTTGGGAACAACTTGCAAGACGGCGAGGCGACAGAACTTCTCAGTTTCCGGTGTGTTTGACTTCTTGCTTGATCTTCGTACATCAACTATCAGATGCAGAGTTCTGGATCTTTCTACTGGCCCAGGACTGTGATAACACACCGACAGTTACTTCCTGACACTCACATATGACACAGAGGTAAAACCCTCCCTACGTCCAATAGAGGGGCTTGTTACAACAAAACCAGCCGTCAGTGCGTCTTGTTGTTGGACGGACATTCGATCTTGAACAAATAGTGAGAAGGTTCTCAGAGC